CTTCTTCTTCTTCTTCTTCTTATCCTTCTTCTTCTTCTTCTTACTTATCCTTCTTATCTTCCCTTCTTCTTCTTCTTCTTCTTCTATCATCCTCATCCTTCATCTTCTTCTTCATCTCATTCCTCATCTTCTTCCTCTTCTTATCCTTCTTCTTCTTCTTCTTCTTCATCCTCATCCTCATCTTCCTCATCTTCTTCTTCTTATTCCTTCTTCTTCTTCTTTCTTCTTATCCTTCTTCTTCCTTCTTCCTTCTTCTTCTTCTTCCTTATCCTTCTTCTTCTTCTTCATCCTCATCCTCATCTTCTTCTTCTTCATCTTCTTCATCTTCTCATCTTCTTTCCTTCTTCTTCTTCATTCTTCTTCTTCATCATCTTCTTCTTCATCATCTTCTTCTTCATCATCATCATCTTCTTCATCATCATCTTCTTCTTCATCATTCTTATTCTTCTTCATCTTCTTATTCTTCTTCATCTTCTATCATCTTCTTCATCTTCTTCTTCTTCATCTTCTTCATCTTCTTCTTCTTCTTCATCTTCTTCATCGTGCCCTGTGACTGCCCAAATGAGTGAAGTGTGCGGTGATTCTAAGATCGACGGCACTCATCTGCATGTCATAACTGACTGACAGTATATTATTTCTCTTTCCCAGCAGACTCCAAGGGCATTTAAATTAAAGGTACAGTGTTCTGCACTAATATAAAGGCTCTCTGAAGCCTAGAAACCCTTTTAATAAGTTAAATTCGCAGCGCATAAATTCACATCAAATCGAATTTATTCCGCAAATTCGGCGAATCAGCCGAATCGAATTTTTGAATAATTCGCTCATCTCTAATAGTATCCCCTCCCTCTATAGTAACCCTCCTTCCTCTATAGTAACTCTTCCTCTATAGTAACCCTTCCTCTATAGTAACCCTTCCTCTATATTAACCCTTCCTCTATCCTCTATAGTAACTCTCCCTCTATAGTAACCCTTCCTCTATAGTAACTCTTCCTCTATAGTAAACTCTTCCTCTACAGCAGTGTTTCTCAACTCCAGTCCTCATGGACCCCCAACAGGTCATGTTTTCAGGATTTCCATTATTTTGCACAGGTGATTTGATTCAGTTTCACTGCCTTAGTAATTACCACAGCTGTTTCATCTGAGGGAAATCCTGAAAACATGACCTGTTGGGGGTCCATGAGGACTGGAGTTGAGAAACACTGCTCCTATGAGTAACTCTTCTTCTATATAGTAACCCTTCCTCTATAGTAACCTTCCTCTATAGTATAACCCTTCCTCTATAGTATAACTCTCCCTCTATAGTAACCCTTCCTCTATAGTAACCCTTCCTCTATAGTAACCTTCCTCTATAGTAACCCTTCCTCTATAGTAACTCATTTTTCTCTATAGTAACCCTTCCTCTATAGTAACCCTTCCTCTATAGTAACCCTTCCTCTATAGTAACTCTTCCTCTAAATAACCCTTCCTCTATAGTAACCCTTCCTCTATAGTAACCCTTCCTCTATAGTAACTCTTCCTCTATAGTAACCCTTCCTCTATAGTAACCCTTCCTCTATAGTAACCCTTCCTCTATAGTAACTCTTCCTCTATAGTAACCCTTCCTCTATAGTAACTCTTCCTCTATAGTAACCCTTCCTCTATAGTAACCCTTCCTCTATAGTAACCCTTCCTCTATAGTAACTCTTCCTCTATAGTAACCCTTTCCTCTATAGTAACTCTTCCTCTATAGTAACCCTTCCTCTATAGTAACTCTTCCTCTATAGTAACCCTCTTCTCTATAGTAACCCTTCCTCTATAGTAACCCTTCCTCTATAGTAACCCTTCCTCTATAGTAAACCCTTCCTCTATAGTAACCCTTCCTCTATAGTAACTCTTCCTCTATAGTAACCCTTCCTCTATAGTAACCCTTCCTCTATAGTAACCTACCTTCCTCTATAGTAACCCTTCCTCTATAGTAACCCTTCCTCTATAGTAATCCTTCTCTATAGTAACCCTTTCCTCTATAGTACCCTTCCTCTATAGTAACCCTTCCTCTATAGTAACCCTTCCTCTATAGCAGTGCTTCTCAAATAGTGGGGCTCGCGAGGCTCCGTCAAGAGGGGCGCGTTTGACCTCGGGAAACATACCGTATTTTCCAGCGTATAAGACAACTTTTTGACCCTTGAAAATCTTCTCAAAAGTCGGGGGTCCTCTTATACGCCGGTATACTTAGGGTGGAACTTTTTAGGGGGGCGCTGCGGTGCCGCCAGCCGCCCACCCCCCCCCTACCGACAGGAGGGACACTAAGTACAGGGGTGGGCAGAGGGCTGCTGTCTCTTACCTTCTCCCACGGTGATCCATACCAGGAAGCGCTGCTCCTTCCGTCACACTCCGGCCACTCCCTCACTCCTCCCGCTCGGCTCCGCCTCGGCTCCCCTCCTCACCGGTGATTGGCCGCCAGAACAGTAGCTCAGGAAAGGTACACAGGCGGCCAATCACGGCGAGGAGGCGAGCTGAGCGGACCCGCGAAAATCGAGTGAGGGAAAAGCCGTAAAGTGTGCAGTGCAGAGGTGCTGCTGCAAAAATACTATTTACAGTCGCGCGGGGGGGGCGCAAAATGTCTCTTCTTCTTCCTAGGGGGGCATAACAGAAAATAATTGAGAAGCACTTCCTCTATAGCAACCCTTCCTCTATAGTAACTCTCCTCTAATAGTAACCCTTCCTCTATAGTAACTCTTTCCTCTATAGTGACCCTTCCCTATCCTTCTATAGTAACCCTCTTCCTCTATAGTGACCCTTCCTATAGTAACTCTTCCTCTATAGTAACTCTTCCTCTATAGTGACCCTTCCTCTATAGTAACTCTTCCTCTATAGTAACTCTTCCTCTATAGTAACTTTTTCCTCTATAGTAACCCTTCCTCTATAGTAATTCCTTTTCCTCTATAGTAAACTCCTTTTCATAGTAACCCTTCTTTTTTTTTTAGTAACTTCTTTATAAACCTTCTTCTTAGTAACTTTTTTTCTATAGTTTTTCCTTCCTCTATAAGTAACCCTATATTTTCTTCTATAGTAACTCTCTCCTCAATATTTTAACCCCCTTCCTCAAAATAGTAACTGACTTTTTTTTTATAGTGGAACCTCTATAGTAACCCTTCTTCCTCTATATAACTCTTCCTCTATAGTAACCCTTCCTCTATAGTAACTCTTCCTCTTAGTAACCCCTTCCCTCTATAGTAACCCTTCCTCTATAGTAAACCCTTCCTCTATAGTAACTCTTCCTCTATAGTAAACCTTCTTCCTCTTAGTAACCCTTCCTCTATAGTAACCCTTCCTCTATATAACCCTTACTTCTTCTTCTATAGTAACTCTTCCTCTATAGTAACCCTTCCTCTATAGTAACCCTTCCTTTCCCTATTAACTCCTCCTCTATAGTAACCCTCACACCCTCTATAGTAACAAACCTTCCTCTCATAGTGACCCTTTAACCCTCTTTCTTCCTCTATAGTCCACTATTAGTAACCCTTCCTCTATAGTAACTCTCTTCCTCTATAGTTTTTCCTCTTCCTCTATAGTAACCCTTCCCTCTATAGTAACCCTTCTTTTTCTATAGTAACCCTTCCTCTATAGTAAAACCTTCCTCTATAGTAAACTATAAAGTAACCCTTCCTCTATAGTAGCTTCTTCTCTATAGTAACCCTTCCTCTATAGTAACTCTTCCTCTATAGTAACCCTTCCTCTATAGTAACCCTTCCTCTACAGTAAACTCTTCCTCTATAGTAACCCTCCTTTATAGTAAACTCTTCCTCTATAAGTAAAACCCTTTCTTCTATAGTAACCCTTCCTCTATAGTAACCCTTCCTCTATAGTAACTCTTCCTCTATAGTAACCCTTCCTCTATCCTTCTTTTAACTCTCCTCTATAGTAACTTTTCCTTCCTTATAGTAACTCTTCCTCTATAGTAACCCTCTTCTCTCTATAGTAAACCCTTCCTCTATCTTAACTTCTTCCTCTATATAACCCTCCCTTTATAGTAACCCTTCCTCTATAGTAACCGTTCTTCCTCTATAGTAACCCTTCCTATAGAAACCCTTCCTCTACAGTAACTCCTTTCCTCTATAGTAACTTTTTCTTCCCTCTATACTTGGTTTTTTCTTCCTCTATATTAACTCTTTTTCTATTTTATCCTCTTTCCTCTATAGTAACCCTTCTTTTTATAGTAAAGGTTTCTTCTTCTATAGTAATCCTTATTAACCCTTTTTAGTTCCTCTATAGTAACCCTTCCTGCATAGTAACCCTTTCCTGTATAGTAAACCATTCCTCTATAGTAACCCCTCCTTTGTATTCTAACCCTTCCTTCTATAGTAATCCTTCCTCTATTTCTTATCTCTTTCCTCTATAGTACTCTTCTTCTTTTCCTCTATAGTAAACTTCTTCCTCTATAGTAACCTTCCTCTTAGTAACCCTTTTCCTCTTAGTAACCCTTCCTCTTCCTTCTATAGTAACTTTTCTTCCTCTATAGTAACCCTTTTTTCCTCTATAGCAGTGATCTTCCTCGAACCCGTGGCACTTCGTCCTCCACAGCCGGCACGCCGAGCCTTATCTGTGGCGCACTCCAGGAGAATCCAGCGCGCGCGCTGTCTTCCAGGCTGTAGTGTGCGTGACAGCCGGGTCCCAAGTGCGCATGCACAAGAAGCTTCTGCTCTTTGTGAATTCTTTAAGGCGGTTACCTTGGGACATCATGACTTCTTCCCAGAATCCGCCGGACCAATCACAAAGCGCAGCGCTTCTCGCTGCATGCGCACTGGGCATCCGGCTGTCCGACATAGCGCCAACACTACAGAAGCCGGGAAGACACCTCGCGCCGCTGGATAAAGGAATCCACTGTAAGATTTTAAAAAAAAAAACTCTGCGGAAGTTTAATGACTGACTAAGGCGGGTTACCTGTCAAATTTCAGGTACCCGCTCCCCCTCCCTCCCCAAAGGCTCCTCTTTTAATAATGTTAAACTTTGAAGCATCATCTCTGTACTTCCGCAGTTTCTGGTCATCCCTTGCTGTCCGCAGTTCTGGTCATCCCTGTACTGTCCGCAGTCTCTGGTTTATCCCCTGTACTGTGTCCGCAATCTCTGGTCATCCCCTGTACTGTGTCCTGCAGTCTCTGGTCACCCCTGTACTGTGTCTGCAGTCTCTGGTCATCCCTAGTACTGTGTCCGCAATCTTGGTCATCTCCTGTACTGTGTCCGCAGTCTCTGGTCATCTCCTGTACTGTGTCCGCATGTTCTCTGGTCATTCTCCTGTACCGTGTCTTTCAGTCTCTGGTCATCTCCTGTACTGTGTCCGCAGTCTCTGGTCATCTCTTGTACTGTGTCCGCAGTCTCTGGTCATAACCCTGTACTGTGTCTGCCAGTCTCTGGTCATCCCTGTACTGTCCGCAGTCTCTTGGTCATCCCTAAGTACTGTCCGCATAGTCTCTGGTCATCCCTGTACTGTGTCCGCAGTCTCTGTCACTCCTGTACTGTGTCCGCAGTCTCTGGTCATAGTAACCCCTGTACTGTGTCCGCAGTCTCTGGTCATCCCCTGTACTGTGTCCGCAGTCTATCTGGTCATCCCTGTACTGTCCGCAGTCTCTGGTCATCTCCTATACTGTGTCCCGCAGTCTCTTTGGTCATCCCTGTACTGTGTCCGCAGTGTCCCTGGTCATCCCTGTGCTGTCCGCAGTCTCTGTTCATAACCTTCCTGTACTGTGTCTGCAGTCTCTGGTCATCCCTGTACTTTCTGTCCAGTCTCTTATGGTAACTCCTGTACTGTGTCTGCAGTCTCTGGTCCATCCCTGTACAACCTTGTTAATTAGTTTGCACTACTGTACGACCTTTTTTATTTTCTAAACCAAAAAAGCTCGATATTCAGGTTTCATTGCAGTGTTTGGCACACTTTGAAAGAATAACCCTTTTTGGGTTGCAGTTTGGGCACTCGGGCTCAAAAAGGTTCGCCATCACTGCTCTATACCCCCCTTCCTCTATAGCAGTGCTTCTCAAATAGTGGGGGCACGAGGCTCCGTCAAGAGGGGTGCGTTTGACCTCGGGGAAACATACCGTATTTTCCAGCGTATAAGACAACTTTTTGACCCTTGAAAATCTTCTCAAAAAGTCGGGGGTCGTCTTATACGCCGGTATTTTTTAGGGTGGAACTTTTTAGGGGGGCGGCGCGGTGCCGCCGCGTTTCCCCACCCCCTTCCGACAAAAGGGACACTAAGTACAGGGGTGGGCAGAGGGCTGCTGTCTCTTACCTGCTCCCACAGTGATCCATCCAGGTGATGTAACCCTTCCCCCATAGTAACCCTTCCTCTATAGTAAACCCTTCCTCTATAGTAACTCTTCCTCTATAGTAACCTTCCTCTATAGTTTACCCCTTCCTCTATAGTAACCCTTCCTCTATAGTAACCCTTCCTCTATAGTAACTCTTCCTATAGTAACCCTTCCTCTATAGTAACCCTTCCTCTATAGTAACCCTTCCTCTATAGTAACCCTTCCTTTATAGTAACCCTTCCCCCCATAGTAACCTTTTCCCCTATAGTAACCCTTCCTCTATAGTAACCCTTCCTTTATAGTAACTCTTCCTCTATAGTAACTCTTCCTCTATAGTAAACCCTTCCTCTATAGTAACCCTTCCTCTATAGTAACTCTTCCTCTAATAGTAACCCTTTCCTCTATAGTAACCCTTCCTCTATAGTAACCCTTCCTCTATAGTAACTCTTCCTCTATAGTAACCCTTCCTCTATAGTAACCCTTCCTCTATAGTAACCCTTCCTCTTATCTAAACCCTTCCTCTATAGTAACCCTTCCTCTATAGTAACCTTCCTCTATAGTAACCCTTCCTCTATAGTAACTCTTCCTCTATAGTAACTCTTCCTCTATAGTAACCCTTCCTCTATAGTAACTCTTCCTCTATTTTAGTAACCCTTCCTCTATAGTAACCCTTCCTCTCTATAGTAACCCTTCCTCTATAGTAACCCTTCCTCTATAGTAACCCTTCCTCTATAGTAACCCTTCCTCTATAGTAAACTCCTTCCTCTATAGTAGTATAGTACCCTTCCTCCATAGTAACCCTTCCTCTATAGTAAACCCTTCCTCTATAGTAACCCTTCCTCTATAGTAACTCTTCCTCTATAGTAACTCTTCCTCTATAGTAACCCTTCCTTCTATAGTAACCCTTCCTCTATAGTAACCCTTCTTCTATAGTAACCCTTCCTCTATAGTAACCCTTCCTCTATAGTAACCCTTCCTCTATAGTAACCCTTCCTCTATAGTAACCCTTCCTCTATAGTAACCCTTCCTCTATAGTAACCCTCTTCCTCTATAGTAACCCTTCCTTTATAGTAACCTTCCTCTATAGTAACTCTTCCTCTATAGTAAACCCTTCCTCTATAGTAACCCTTCCTCTATAGTAACCCTTCCTCTATAGTAACCCTTCCCTCTATAGTAACCCTTCCTCTATAGTAACCCTTCCTTTATAGTAACTCTTCCTCTATAGTAACCCTTCCTCTATAGTAACTCTTCCTCTATATTAGTAACCCTTCTCTATAGTAACCCTTCCTCTATAGTAACCCTTCCTCTATAGTAACTCTTCCTCTATAGTAACCCTTCCTCTATAGTAACCCTTCCTCTATAGTAACTCTTCCTCTATAGTAACTCTTCCTCTATAGTAACTCTTCCTCTATAGTAACCCTTCCTCTATAGTAACCCTTCCTCTATAGTAACCCTTCCTCTATAGTAACCCTTCCTCTATAGTAACCCTTCCTCTATAGTAACTCTTCCTCTATAGTAACTCTCCCTCTATAGTAACCCTTCCTCTATAGTAACCCTTCCTCTATAGTAAACTCCTCTATAGTCCTTCCTCTATAGTAACTCTTCCTCTATAGTAACTCTTCCTCTATAGTAACCCTTCCTCTATAGTAACCTTCCTCTTCCTCTATAGTAACTCTTCCTCTATAGTAACCCTTCCTCTATAGTAACTCTCCCTCTATAGTAACCCTTCCTCTATAGTAACCCTTCCTCTATAGTAACCCTTCCTCTATAGTAACCCTTCCTCTATAGTAACCCTTCCTCTATAGTAACCCTTCCTCTATAGTAACCCTTCCTCTATAGTAACTCTTCCTCTATAGTAACTCTCCCTCTATAGTAACTCTTCCTCTATAGTAACCCTTCCTCTATAGTAACTCCTCCTCTATAGTAACTCTTCCTCTATAGTAACTCTTCCTCTATAGTAACCCTTCCTCTATAGTAACCCTTCCTCTATAGTAACCCTTCCTCTATAGTAACCCTTCCTCTATAGTAACCCTTCCTCTATAGTAACTCTTCCTCTATAGTAACTCTTCCTCTATAGTAACCCTTCCTCTATAGTAACCTTCCTTCCTCTATAGTAACCCTTCCTCTATAGTAACTCTTCCTCTATAGTAACCCTTCCTCTATAGTAACCCTTCCTCTATAGTAACTCTTCCTCTATAGTAACCCTTCCTCTATAGTAACTCTTCCTCTATAGTAACTCTTCCTCTATAGTAACCCTTCCTCTATAGTAACTCTTCCTCTATAGTAACTCTTCCTCTATAGTAACTCTTCCTCTATAGTAACCCTTCCTCTATAGTAACTCTTCCTCTATAGTAACCCTTCCTCTATAGTAACTCTTCCTCTATAGTAACCCTTCCTCTATAGTAACCCTTCCTCTATAGTAACTCTTCCTCTATAGTAACCCTTCCTCTATAGTAACTCTTCCTCTATAGTAACCCCTTCCTCTATAGTAAACTCTTCCTCTATAGTAACCCTTCCTCTATAGTAACTCTTCCTCTATAGTAACTCTTCCTCTATAGTAACTCTTCCTCTATAGTAACCCTTCCTCTATAGTAACCCTTCCTCTATAGTAACCCTTCCTCTATAGTAACTCTTCTTCTTCTTCACAGGTAAATAATGGATTCCACGCAGAGGCAATGTGCTGTCATTGAGGTCTTGGTGAAGGAGGGGGGGGTGCCGGCTGTCTGACATTGATGGTCTTCCATGGAATTGTTTGTCTTCAATACTGTTTCTTTTATAACTTCATCCATCTGTGCACATTGCTCTAGTCAGTGTGTGAAGGGGGACAATTACGTGAAGGGGACACTGATGTGGAGGGGATACTGATGTGAAGGGGACACTGATGTGGAGGGGATACTGATGTGAAGGGGACATGATGTGGAGGGGATACTGATGTGAAGGGGACACTGATGTGGAGGGGATACTGATGTGAAGGGGACACTGATGTGGAGGGGACACTGATGTGGAGGGGACACTGATGTGGAGGGGTCACTGACGTGAAGGGGACACTGATGTGGAGGGGACACTGATGTGAAGGGGACACTGATGTGGAGGGGACACTGACGTGAAGGGGACACTGATGTGGAGGGGACACTGATGTGAAGGGGACAATTATGTGACGGGGACACTGATGTGAACAGGACACTAATGTGGAGGGGACACCAATGTGAAGGGGACAATTACATGAAGGGGGACACTGATGTGAAGAGGACACTGATGTGAAGTGGGAGACTGATGTGCGGAGGACTGAGGACACTGATGTGGAGAGGACACTGATGTGGAGGGGACACTGACTTGAAGGGGACACTGATGTGGAGGGGACACTGATGTGAGGGGACACTGATGTGGAGGGGACAATGACATGAAGGGGACACTGATGTGGAGGGGACACTGATGTGGAGGGGACAATGATGTGGAGAGGACACTGACGTGAAGGGGACACTGATGTGGAGGGGACACTGATGTGGAGGGGACACTGATGTGGAGGGGACAATGACATGAAGGGGACACTGATGTGGAGAGGACACTGATGTGGAGGGGACAATGACATGAAGGGGACACTGCTGTGGAGGGGACACTGATGTGGAGGGGACACTGATGTGGGGGGGGTAATGAAATGAAGGGGACACTGATGTGGAGGGGACACTGATGTGGAGGGGACAATGATGTGGAGGGGACAATGATGTGCGGAGGACTGAGGACGCTGATGTAAGAACATGATTATGATATAGGAGGGGGCTGCGATGGAAAGGAGTCTTCGCACAAACATGCAATTTGGACTTCTGCTGGAAGAAAATTTGACATATTGGACCTCCATGAATTTTAACTTGATGTTGTTCCACCAACATGTGAAATATGAGCAACCTTTGGAAGTTAATAATAAAGTTATGCCCACTTTTGCATTACTTTGGGTACAGCCTTTGTAGATCTCAGCGCTTCGCAGCCCCGTAGCCCGCAGCCCCGCAGCCTCGCAGCCCGCAGCCTCTCACAGCCCCACAGCCTCGCAGCCTCACAGTC